TTATGATCAGTTACTAGTCTACATGAATTAAGACCCCATAAATATTTATCAAATTTTTCAGTAGCCCACACCAGTGACAAACACTCTTTCTCAATTTGGGCGTACCGAGTTTCAGCATCAGTTAAAGTTCTAGAACAGAATGCAACAGGTTTCCAGATATCATTATGTTGTTGCATAATCACACCCCCTATACCATATTGACTGGCATCAGCACTGACCATTGTCGGTTTCATGATATCAAATACAGCTAAAACAGGACTAGAGGTTATCAGATTCTTGATCCTTGAAAATGCTTCGTCTTGAGCTTTATCCCATGTCCAACAAATATCTTTTCTCAGCAAATCATTTAAAGGTTGCATAGTATTTTACAAATTTGGAATATAACATCCTAAATAGTTTATCATACCAATTATTCTACGTAATTCAGCTACATTATTAGGTTTCTGAAGATTATTTATTGCAGAAGCTTTGTCTGGGTGTGGAATGATACCTTCTGGCGTAATTTTGTGTCCAAGGAAGTTTATCTCTGTTTGGCGAAATACACATTTATCTCTATTCAGTTTTAATCCACTTTGTTTAATTCTCTGTAAAGCAGCATCTAAATTCTTATCATGTTCTTCCATTGTAGCACCGACAATAAATATATCATCCATGTAAACAGCAACGCCTTTTAAATCAACTAAAAGATTGTTCATAATTCTCATAAAGATTTCCGGAGCACTTGAAATTCCGAATGGAAGCCTTTTAAATCTATAGCGTCCACTAGGTGTTATGAATGTTGTCAACTTGCGACTTTCTTCATCCAAGGGTACATGATGAAATCCACCGGAAGCATCTAATCTTGAAATATAACGAGCACCACTAAGTTTATGTAAAATATCTTCAAACGTAGGTAAAACATATCACTCACGTTTGACAGTTTTATTTAATTGTCTGAGATCTACACATAGTCTTACTTGACCCGACAGTTTTAAAACAGGTGTTATTGGAGCACACCAATCTGACGGTTCTGTAACAGGTTCAATAATATCACTATCTACTAATCTCGTGATTTCAGCTTTAGTTTTCTCCTGTAACGGTATAGCAATACGTCTTGCCGTATAAACTGCATAGGGTACAGCATCATCTTTTAAAGTTATATAAACTGGCTCACATTTAAGTAATCCAACAGGTCCAAAAACATCATCATTAACAGTTTCAATTCTCTTAATTAATCCCATTAAGCTACAGTTCGACTTAATAAATTATAAGAAGTTTGTCCTTTAATAACATAAACTGGAAAAGTAAATCTTTCATTTTTATAATTAGTTTCCACTATAAAATATCCTAAGCAAAATATTTCTCCACCAGGACTACTAAGAACTATCTCACTTTGTTTAAGTTTAGGTTTAGGATTTAACTGATTGTAAGATTTTTCACTCATCACTGAGGTATCAGCACCTGAATCAATTTTAAAATTAACAGTTCTCCTCAATATTGGTAACTCTACATGCTATGCAGGAACACTACCATCTGAACAATTATTTATCTCATTTAAAGTTCCAAGAAAGATATTTTCTTTCACATCACACTTTTGCACAATTTGGCTCTCCATAAAATTATTTTCATCAGTCACTTTATTATTGTTTTGATTACTAC